AACTTGCTCCTGGAACGAATTAAGTTCGTTGTGTGAGGCACCACTGTAAATTGAATTTTTTTACGTGCAAAATTTTTAATTATAATTGCAAAAAATATTATTATAATATAAATTAAATAAATAATAATAATTGCGAACGAAATTATTAAAATAATTACTTACCTGATTGCGTCCATTTCAATTAAAATATCATAAATAAATAAAACCAGATTCCATTACATACCATTCACTTTATTGTTCAATGAAACAATTATTAAATATTATATAATCAGTTAAAATCAATAATATTACTTCATTATTTTTTTATGTTTATAATCTAAAATCACATATTGTTTTATTTTCATGTTATGTTTTTTTTGTTAATCTCTTTACAATCATTAAGCGTCCTCTATACATGTTTTTTTTATTATTTGTTTAAGTTTACGATTGAAAAGTAATTGGAAAACAGTTTCTTTTTAACATTCAGATGGAAAATATATAGATTCCAACATCAATAATTCCTTCTACCGAATTGCTATTTACAATAAACAATACACATTCAGAAAATAAAAACGTCGCTTTGCTTTACAAAGGTTCTTCATTATCATTAGGTTGTATTTAAAATTAGATTATGTTAATAACATATATATTTTGAATTATTGCCATTTATAATTGATTTTAAAATAATGTTTTTGTGCGCAGAGATTTATAAACCGTATAGTTCGTATTACGAATACGAAGTGTCAATAAACTGTATTATACCGCCCGTAAGCATTTACTTTATAAATAATTGCAGTTTTATAAAGAAATTTTCGAGCAAATTAATATGAAACTAATATGAATTATAACTGGGAAAATATTACCAACGTTTGTTTTGAGTTGGGCCAAATGCAGCTGTGTGATACATAATATTAATATTGAATGTTAATTAGGCCGATACGTTGCAAATTGGTAACAAATTGTCATATTTTAGACATATAAAAATAAATCAAATAGAACATTTACAGATTAAGCCCAGCTTATAAATTTTATTACAACCATGTTTATAAACAAATATGTTTGTTCTTAATTAAAATTATCTTCTCTTCCACCAAATTAAAATAACAAACTATCGTTTACGCATTAAATTAACTCAATAATTATTATACATTTTTGTTTTAAATAAATTTGCTAACAAAACATTAAAATCGGATCAATCCTTTCCTCTGCTCGCATAATTCCTTTGTGTTTATTCGGATATGAAAAAAATAAATTTCTTCGATTTCCAAACAAATACTGCTGAAAGATTTATCTTGCATTTGCGTACTAACAACAGCAGCGGTTTAACTATTAAAAAACATTGTGAATTATATTCGCAACATGAAAAATGATGTATCGAGCCACGTTTCGATTAAATATTGGTTTCGCCGCGTGTCGGCTGCAAATGCGCTGAATTAATAAAGCAAATTTAATTAACAGCAAAGCAATCAATTTTTGTAAATTAAAGCGAAAAGTACAAATAAACGAGCGGTCAGAAGTAAATACATGTATCTGGTGGGCAATGGTATCGGTGATGGTGGTGCTCTGTTTATGATTTTCAATTGTATTTGCAGAATTGACACGATGGTTCTCCGATACAAAGCATTTTTCTTCGTCCGTGATTCCTTTCTTTGTTTCGATAATACACACACAGATACATACATCTTTACATCTATATATAGACGACGGTCACACACAAACACATTTTCTTCTCTTTTTTTGTTGTTGTTCGTCTCTCGCGCACCCCTCGCGCGCCCTCTTTCTTCTTTCTCTTGCCTCCTGCGCCCGGCTTTATTGTCGGGGAATATTATAAATGACATCGTTTAATAACAAGGGAATTTAAAGCGAAGCGTGTCAAACGCATGACAGTCCATACAAATCGTTTTGTTTTGTGAACGCTTCCGAGCGTATTGTCCTCAAAAAGGGACAGAGAAGTGGACCAATGAGGAGAGAACCGAACGGCGATGGAACCTTTTCCCTTTCGTTACATTCACCAACCTGCTGATCACTTAACTAAATCGACCCAACCGTTCTGCAACATATGCAGCAACAACAAAGAGTGAAATAAATTTCCAGAATAATGTCGAACCCAATCTCTGCACACAAAAGCCATTGGTAGCATATGTATGTATATGTAATTAGATGAGTAGTGGAAACTGAAAATTTACATGTGTTGTGGTAAAATCAGATATACGCATGTCATCAGTTTCTCGAATTGTCTATTTCTTATATGTGTGCGTGTTTTTTTTTATATAGTTTGGTTTGTTTCAATCTGTATTTCATCGCTTAGTTATTTAGGCACAAATAATTCGTTCGAGTCCCGCGGCATGATCATTACCTAAACAAGAGGAGCTGCAGCGCAATCAGAACGTTCAAAACCATCCGGTCCAACCGCACTGGAGATCCGTTGTGCCCGAAAATATCTGCAAAAACAATAACCACAATTAATCGAAACACACAAAACAAGCCGGGCTGCAAAACCAAACACCCAAATCAGCTCTCCATTCTCTCACTCGCAATCGCACAAACACGCACTCACACATACACGAGATACACACAGTTGAAGAGAACGAACTCTGCATTACACACATTCGACAGGCTGAGAGTATCGACCGAATTGTTAAACGCCTATAATGATATTCGGGATCATTACCAAAATTGTCGTCGTCGTGGGTCTGCGATGATGTGGAGAGGAGGACCGGTGCCAGCAACGGTGTTTCATCCCTGATAAAGCCATCAGTGTATCTGTTCCAAGCAGAGTAGATTGTCGCTTCGCATTTAAGGATCATCGGTCCCGTAATAAAGTAAGACTTATTTGCAATGATTTCGATGCGGGACTTGGACGTTTGAAGATCTGCATCATCAATCTCCGGTTCGTGCCTTGTGGGAAATATTTTTACATCATCATTGTGCGGGGTCACCTGCAAAAAGGAAAATGAAACAAACATACTCAGTTTTAATCCGTTGAAAAAATATCGAAGAACATAAACACAAATCGGAGATGGACATATTTCACTTTGGATTACGTCTAAGTGAAAACAGGGATCGATATTTCGAAATCAATTCAATCCGGATTTGATAGGGGAAATGTTTGCCTTAGCCGAGTGAAGGCAAAGAAAATATTGAATGCACTGGTAGAAAGATTATTAATTCTACGCATTCTAAAAATAACAGCGTTTTAAATTGCCTTCCTTCATTCATTTTTAATAACATAAATTATTTTCTATGAAACATGTATATGTCGGATGCATCATTTGAAGTTATAGATATTTGATGAACATAAAAAGGAAAATACCGTAATGAAAAAGGTAGGGCATAAAGCGCTCTTTGTTTAATTGCCTTTTGTTCATGTAGTTTTTTTTTTATAAAAAATATTATAATAAATATTATTATCATTTAAAAAGCTACAAAATAATAGTCAACGGGTACATCAAATTGGATAGTGATAATAATAGAATAATACAGATATCAAACATACAATGCAATGCATTTATATTGGACGCAATGAGTTTGATGCGTGCATTTTAACTGTTAAAACAACATTGATTTTAAACCTACTACAGAATACTACTAAACTACTATCTAAAACAGAATATATTTTACAATGTTTGCATTCAAATTTCGGAGAAGACTACATGTTTTTGTGTTATTGATCAAAAGATGGTTTTATACAAAGTTGAAGACAAATGACGTGGGAGGCATTAGATGGGAAATATGACAGACATAAAAGCGGCATCTTAAATAAACAAGATAGTCTATGTTCTTGAATGAGATGAGAAAATGCAATCACTTCGTACATGAAAAAGGTATCGAACCATTTATATTCCACAAGCACTACTTACTGTTTTATCTAATAATGTTGTTTTACTTCGTGTTTTCTTGCTTGTTAATTTCGGACATATTTAAAAAAAATTATCAGAATTTCTGGTGTTGTTATATATATCTCTAATGTATAAGTCTAAGTGTAGAAAGGCATCAATGTTATATAAATATTATCAAAATTTCCATGAAATATTTTTTTTTATATTTATCATATTTAAAGAGAAAAATACACGAAGCTTATAGTAATAATACTATTTATAGTAATCCAACGATAATAAATAATAATTTTGATAAAATAGCCCTTTCTTATTGAGTTAAAATTTGTTAACAATTCCAAAAAAATACTAAGTCAAAGAAGCAGAGCATTTTGATACATAAGAAATATATTTTGTACTCTTGTATTTTCAAGCAAATGTTTTGATGCAGTACAAAAATCAATTAAATATAGAGATATAATTGGAAAATTATTGAAGATATTTTATAGAGGATCTATTATAGTTGAAACAAAAACAATGCGCGTATCTTCTCAAAAGTAAAAACTTGTTTGTTTTTGTTTTAAAGTTCTTTATTAATGTGAAATTGATGTTACAGGTTATGTTATGTTATTGTTTTTTTGTGGCTTTTTGCGAGCTTGAGTTCTTTGAGACATTACAAAGTAAAAACTGGAAAGCCAGATTTGATATATGACTATAATAGTATACATTGTTTTATAGTCGCAATAAACGCAAATCCACTAAGTTTGCGATTTTATATATATATAACTCAATTGTATGAAGTTTAGTTGATTTAGTCCTTGTGAATGTAGAATTTAGTTGTTTAATTTCATGTTTTTGAAGTTTGTTTTGGTGTTTACTCTAATCATCATTAAAACAACAATTTCATAACATAACTGAAAATATATTTTTTGAGTTCGATTTATATAGTTTAGTAACATTAACTTTTGTTAAAGTTTCATAGAAATAATTGCAATAATCATTTTAGCCCATAAAATCGCACTAGTCCCGTTAATTTTTTAAATGTATTCTGACCGTATCGTCCCTGTATATAAAAAAGTGATCTTATTGGTTTGTGTATGTATTCTATTATATACAATGTGAATTTACAAAATATTTTTTATAAGCATATTACACAAATGTATAAGCGAATATATGTTTACTAAAGCTTTGCAAAGAAAATATTGCAAAGTTTACAATATTTACATTGGTATATTTCAATAAATACACAATATTTTTTACTTGTGTATCACAAAGACTTTAAGGATTAAATGTATCAATGCTTCAGTGATAATCAAGAACGATTTAATGTTACTTAAATTATTTTTAGTTAATCTAAATACAAAACAAAATGATATGCCTATATTTTATTTTTACAATTGTTGTATATGAAGAAGGCTCCATTTCTTCATATACAACAATCTTACTAAAATTATATTGTTTAGAGGTATCTGAAAAATGTTTAGATCTATCTGAAAATGTTCAAATTATATAAATAATTAATGACAATTATTTATTTAAAGTATTGATGTTTATGGTGATTTCAAAGTGCTCCTCCTGTTAATGTAATTGATTTCATACACGTTTATAATGTCATAAAAATGAATAATTTTAAGGGGGCGGTAGGCCAAACAAGTTTGGGAACCACAGCTCTAGATAATCTAATATTTTCTTTCAAATGTATACCATATTTTCGGACAGAGGGAATTACTTATTTAAATTGAATTTTATACTCACAACAACTACGTAGTTTTGTCTGATACAGAGATCATTTAGCGCTATACACTTCGTAAATATTTTTAATTGAGTCGGAGACATAGCAGCGGAGTATCGTCAAATTGGGCAAACAACAGGATTGGGGTGCGAGTTTTGCTATGGGCTATGTTAGAGATTTTGGCTAGAAGGGCGGCGAGGCGCGAAGGAGGAATAAAATGTGATTATGGAATTGGTGTGATTATTATGCATGGCGGATTTTCGTTACAACCGAGGGAAACTTTTAATGGGAATCGTAATAATAATAATACCGGGAATGTAAGGGATGGGGTTTTGCTAGTAAGCAAAGTTTCGGCCACAATTTATTTCCGGTCCCCGTGCCGTGCATGTTCTTTTTTAAATATTTTTTTTCGTCATCTTCGTCGTCGCATTCAGGAATACTTTCGTGGGGAAATCCTTTAAAAATGTATGCACAAAGTTGCTCACTCACCAATTCGTCATTAATATACCACGTTATGTTGGCCGCAGGGGTGGAACCGGTCGTCGAGCACATCGCCACGATCCTCTTACCGACCTCCACCTTTTTGGGCTCGATTTCCAACGAGGGTGAACCACTGGGGACTTCTGCAAAGACAAACAAAACAACACAAGGTAGAGTAGAGTTTGTAACTGGTAGCAATCATACCAATAATGGTCATATGAGCCATTTTAATTTCAGTGTGGAATAGGGGCGCATCGGCGGAGACCTCACACTTGTAGTCGCCCGAGAGTTCCTTTCGCACCCCACGTAAAGTGACTTCGGTGGGTCCGGATTTGGCAATCTGCATTGGAAAAGGAAAAGATTACAAACACTTTATCGCGCCTCATGCATTATTCACAATTCTATTATGAATTATCCACGCACCGCTTCAACTGAAAAATATCGCGATCGCTTCTCTATCTATAATAGAAATTTAATTCAACACACTTTTCATTCGCCAAGAACTTGTATCAACATGTCTGCATACATTTGCGAACTTTAAGGAAAATTTATTTTTATGCTGCGCGAACCGTACAAGAGCGGAAACGGAAAGAATCCTTATTACTCATGAGGAAATTATGGCCTTCGTTGCTATCGTAATCACATTTGCAGCATATTTCCAAGTCAATAACTTTTAATGGGCACGCCAAGACGCCGCGCTGCGGTGGCCAACAAGTCCATCTCGATACTTACGTAAGATTTTTTTATAACTTTAATTTGTTCAAATTATTTTTGATCATTGGCTATAACTTTTTCTTTATTTCTTTACCAAATATTTGAAAGAAACAACCCATAAAACAATTATGATATAAACTAAAAATAATTTATTTAATATAACAAGTAAATATAATAAATAATTAATCCACATATATTTTTTTAAGATATGTTTTCTTTAGTAATAGTAATAACTAATTGAAGCAACCAAATTCAAATTTAACATTTCCAGCTCGTATTTAGAACCTTTCATTTTATTAGTATTATAATGAAAAAAATAGGTCAGTACCTCATTTGTTATGTAATCTGTGTTTATAAAATTGATAATGCGTCAAAATTGCACATAAAATATAATAAGATATTAGTTTAGTCAGTGGTCGTAATTCAAATTTTGGTCTCCCCCGAAAAATATTAATATTAACATTTTTATTATGAAAATTATAAAAAATAAAATGTATTTCAAATTTAAACTTCTTTCTTCTAGATTTTAAATTCACGAGAAATCTTGCTATAGATTTTTTTAAATTAACGTTCTATGGCTTCATAAAAATAAGGCCTGCGCAAATTTGAATAACGTAGCCCAAATCAATGTTCTGACAATTTGGTAGCTTACATTGAGAGTGTCGTGGGCCCTAGACATGAGGAGTTCAGTGACTACAGGATACATTTTAAAATTTTAGTACCCTAAATATGTTTTTGTTTGGGCCGACTTCTTTGTAGTTCCAAAACTGAATCTAGCGATAATCAAAGTATATTTCTGAAAACCATAAGAATCTGCATGACATTTTTTTAATACCTATTAAATAACTACTATTATAATGTATTTATAAGTAAACATATCTAATAGTTTAATTTTCAGATAAAAAAAAACTATAGAGCAATAGCGTAGCTTATCTAATTACCAGCACCAAAGAAAATTAATATTTATTAGTGTAATTTTGGAACAAAAAATTTACATAGTCTTATAATAATTGAATAAAATTAGTTTTAATTATAACACATACAATAATGCAATAATTATATAATTACTTACGTCAACATGAATGTGAGGCATGGTGAAAGCTCGAGATGGCGGCGACTCCTTCGGAACAAATCTGTAGAACTCGACGTCGTTCCTGTACCATTTAATGGTGTACAGAGCGACCTCTTCTAAATCATAATTGCAAGAAAGTGTAACTGTGTCGCCGCTTTTTACAACTTGCGGGACTCTTATGATGAGAGATTTTAATCCATCAGCACCTGAAACAGACCAATTAAATTTTAAGTGCGCCGTCGGTCGGAAACTGGGGAGAGCTGAGAAGAGGGAAATGCATTTCCCCTCATTTCGGGAAAGCGCGCGTGCGAAATATGTAAATAATTTGTAATCTCCTCTCGAGCGCGACGAACAATTGATGTGATTAGTCGGCGCCGCATTTAAATAGAATTTCTTCTTTCCTCGACGCTTTTTAAAAGGAAAAGCCGCATTAAAATATTACCGCATTTCTTGTTCCAGCCGTGCAACTTTTGCTCCAGTCCGTTTTATGAATTTTAATACGACCGGAGGAAACCAAAGCAAACCAAAGATGCTGCTCGCACTACCCGCTGTAAACAAAACATGAGCACTCGTATCTTTTTATTTATTTATCTTCTTCTTCTACAGACATGGAAGACATTTAGTTGCAACGCAATAAATTTTCAGAACTTTCGTAAAATTAACGAAGTCTCTTCATCGGATCTAAATGGACGCAATTTAGTCTGTAAGGGTGCATCCTTGATTCCCTCTTCTTATCCTTTTATGTTCCCTTTAATATTCATGGAGTTTTATCTCCCAAAATTGCAAAAACATTTAACGTTACTATTTATTCATGTATAATAATAGATTATTTATATTTTATGAAACTTGTCAAATGTGAGTTACTCCCTTTGATTTATATTACTATCATTCAAACAGATTAAAGTCACAAAAGTGAGTAAGATATTTAAATGTAATCAATTTTTTTTTGTAGAAAATTAAATAATGTAAAAAAATTCCATTTATCATTTTAAGGAAATTTATATTGAAAAAGGTTGTGATGGAAAAAATAATTTCAAATCTCATAATACTGTATTATCATAATCATACAGTTGAAGTATAATAATTATGTTATAAAAATATTTGTATTGAAAATTAAAGAAATACATAATTTGTACATTTTAATTTGTATAGGACTATTTGAAAATAAATATGTCGGATGTATCTATCATTTTTTTATATATATATACAAAAAAAAATCATTTTTCAGCCATCTATTTTACATAAAATAATAAATTGGTATGGTGATAATTAAAATAAAAAATATAAAAGACGTCAAGTAACCAACCTTAACGTGTTCACATTGAAGGCACACGCACTCACGAACTGTTTATTCTAAAAACGATTTGGTAGGTCTTGTGGCTTGAAACGCTTCAGTATTCGGCAATGGTTTTCTGTGTTAGTCCATAATAAAGGTGTTTGGATGAATAAAATTTCATATTGTTACTTTCGAAATATTGATATATTTTGTAATTTGATCCGTTGAATGTGATGAGCACATTTTTTATACTAACTCAATGTTATTTGAAATGAAATGAGATTTGAAATCTCAATATCGATTGATTTGATGTTACATAAAAATCCGTCATTGAAATGTCTTTTATATGACAAAGAATAAAATCAACAAATTTAATTAAATGATAAGATAAATAGGTAAGAATATTGTTGGGGAAAAGTATGCAAATTTCATTATGTCGTGCAATGTATGTTGAAATAGCAAGTGCAAGAGATTGGGAGGGTGGCCATTTGGTCCCGGGCTTTGTCTTTGCACTGCAGCGAATCCAATTCGTACTGTGGAGTACGACGGGTGGCTTTGTAGTAGTAAATGATTGTTTCACTCTGAATACCAATTCTACGATTCACTTTATATTTTCTATTTTACCTCTGCTATGACCATTCGCCCAAATGACTGCTGCTGTTGCCTCTGCAATTATATACTGCTCATGTTTTTTTTTTTACATATTGGTAAAACTTCTACGCAATTTACTATAACTTTCTCCTTCTTTATAATAAACAATTTGTTCTTTATTTATGGAATAATTCTAAAATTAAACTACCGGATTTCAAATAAACATTTTCCAATATGTGGCAAGTAAAACATTAATTGTAAATAGTTATATAAATACAATAAATAATAATTATGCTAAAAAATAATGCTAAAAAAAAATAAAACTTTTTATACAAAAGTTTTATAAAAATTAATGTGTTATATATGTCAAGATTTTTTTTTGTTGCATTTGAATGTAGTAAAAATAATATTCGTTGAATATTTGGATGAAAATAACGTACGGGATTGAAATGCATCACATATTTCGAAACCCGTTTGACAATTTGCAAACAGCTTCCGTGAAAAATATACTGCAATTAATTTGGGATAAAAAATAATAGAGTTTTTACTATTTATTTTTGTCGAATTTTGATATAAATAAATATTTTCGTGAATAATGTATAGTAATTATGTCTACTAAAAATGTGTTTGCAAGTTTTGAATAAAATTATAACAAATAAGGTTAAATAAAAATATAAAAAAAAAAAAAAAAGGGTTATTGACCGCAGCCTGCCTTATTTTTATCTGTAATTATTGTATAATTATTATAATATATTTTGTGGAACATTGTAACAATACTAATTACCAACATTGTTATGTTCTAATAAATAAAACAATTCATTGATAAACTTTTTTTTAATTCATATCTAAATATATTCTGCAAATTATATTTATCTTTCTTCGAATATATCTCCAATATATGTATGTATTGTTCTAAATGAAAATAATATTAAAAAATGTTATATAAACTCGGTGTTATGTAAGTAATGAAACCCTATTTATATGATTCAGAAAGTATAAGTTCACAATTTTAGTTATAAAATAATTAAATTATAGTTTAATTGTTTTACGGTTAAAAGAATGTAACAAATATATTCTTATATAATATTAATATTGTTAATCAATAATATGTATGTGATTTTATTTTGAACAGACGTTAATATGCTTGTGAAAATACATCACATAAAACAAAGGTTAATATATTTTCATATGGCGAAAATGCAGCTGTTACAAGTTATACAATTTATAGTTTGTGACAATTTGTGTATAATAATATATTTATTATTTTATAATAACTGCCTCATAATTTGATAGACTGGTGCATTTCATTCGATCAGAAAGTACACTAACATTAACATTTAGGGTAATACTTGTTTACAGTTTATATGGCGATTATTACTGGAAGAAAATTTAAGTGTTTCGGTGAAAAATCGTTTATTTTTAGTATTATACAATGCACAACTTCTTCGTGTATATAGTGTGGTAAGTGTTTGAATTTCATTTTACTAATCTCTGACGATAAAAATGGTTTTGTATAGCTTTGTTTTGTGTAGTAGACACATTCTTGTTAATTAATGTTTCCACCGTAGATCCTTGCGCAAATTTCCTTTTGAGATTTTTGTCAAATTGTTTCTAAATTATGTAAGAATTTGTACATATGCTACGAAAAAACAAATAAAAAAATCGATTCATTGCTGAGACGATTTAAGTTATAATTTGTCAAATTTTTCGACTGTAATATACAGTGGAATTGTATCGATCCGGGGTCTTTGTGATGGTCTCTTTATATTTTTTATATGTGTTTATTTATAAAAGCGTACATAGTTTGCTTATATACTATAATAATGGTTATACACAATACTTTTTTGTTTTGCAAAAAATCAAACACAAATTATATTTGCATATGCGAAGATGACAAAAAAATCGAAGATGGTTAAATATATTTAAAAAAATACATTTATGTCATTATGATAGATCTGACATCTATCTCCTCATCACTCCTTATGCGAAACGTCGCTCGAGTCACTTATGTTAAATTTTGTTATTCTCGTTAAGCGAGGTTCCACTATATATAAGTAATGGTCAATTAAATCCGTCCTTACATTTTCTTTGAACAGTTCAGTAGTTGAATGTCAGTAGTTGAATTGATTCCTTTATTGCTCACAAATGATTGAAAATCACTCCTGTATTGGGGGGACCCGCTTCATATTTATGCCTGGTGTCTCAAAGTCCCATCATGCAGCAATTGTAATATAACACTATGCGTCAATAAGTTAAACCAGGCTTTAGTTGCAATATTTGATAGAATATTAGTTTATGTATTATGGTATTAAGACGTTTTACTTATTAGTTTAAATTTTTAAATATAAATAATGTTTCTGAACATTCGTAGTGAAATAAATGTAATGAGTTCATAAATAATTTAGAACTAAATGTAAGTCGTCTGATAAAACAAACAGAAATACGCCGAGTGTGGTTAGCTTTCAAGCGAATTGTCAATGTGCTAACATAAAAGCGAAAGATATGCATGCGAAGGGGTTGAAGAGGACCGATGGGGTGGGGGTTTGTAGCGCGATGAATACCGTTTTCGGTGCAATTTCGTATAATGTAATGATCCCCTCTACGTTGAATAAAAGTTTGCGCTTAAATTCAATTCGTATTTTTCGTGTGTTCTCTCGGTAGCTGCACGTCGAGGATTAAACTATTGTTGGGGCCTCTGGGATTATCGGCGGGGCGTTTCATAAATAAAAGAAAATTGTCTATGCGAGAGAGCGAAGGGTTGGGTTTTCGTCGTCGATGTAGGAGCAAGGGATGAGGCTGCATGATCGGATTTTCGAAAAGGGATTTCTCTTTTGTTGTTCCACATCGGACATTCAATATTTAATGAAAATCGGTCAACGCGTGCAAATTACCCTTTCGCGACCGGAACCGGATCACTACGGGCTTTTTCCGTGTCCTCCGACTGGCACCAATCATGATGCCCTGATGCTCTAGCAGAGACCCGAATTGAAAATGCATGAGATGTTTTCGACGCATCCACTTCGTATATCACCAATCATCGGCATACATATTTAAATTAACGAAAGATTAATTAAAGGATTCATTTGTGCTCTTTTTCCTACACTGTCATCGACTATCCCTAATACTGCTTCAGTCTGTGGTCATTTATATTATTTATATATCAATTTACTGCAGTCGAATACCAATTCTATATATTTATTTGAAAATATGGAATATTTTCTTTTATTTTCACGTATCGACGACTGCTTATGTCCTGATTTTGATTTGTTTCTTATATTATAAGATTTCTGATACAAAAATTCTTCATTGTACAGATTATTCTGATTTTCAAGCGTTTTT